TCGCTAAACTTGATGAAAATTTTCGGATCCACCACCAATCTTTTTATAGGGTATGATTGGCCAGCAAAAATATCATCTTTTAGTAAAAAAATTTTAAAATTAATTAAAACTTACTAAAAGAAATTTAGGTATGCGAAATTAGGACTAGGTCTAGGAGTACGGTTACGTGTGAGAAAGGTATTAGTACCCTCACATCGCCTGTTCGAAGAATGGTATCATTTAAACATACGTAATCCTATAATTTTGATAACGGGGTCTTTTTTATTTAAGTTTAATTTCCTAAAATTTATTTTAAAACAAGTTTTTTTTTCGAAATTAACATTATTATTATTATTTCATATTCATAAATTCTCCAACGCTTTGGTGGAATTTATAGAAAATCACTACTTACAAAATATTTTGAGAAAATTGACCATTCACAAAATTCTCGAATCTTCATCATAAGATATTTTAATTATTTATTTAAAAAGGATTTTAAGAACATCCCGACTCTTTGGTGAGTTCCCAAAATTTTGAACAAAGTTTAAGATTATCCTGACTCTTCGGTCAAATCTAAATATTATGGTTATTTTAAAATTTTGTATTATTTATTCCCTAATTATTTTTTATAAGAAAAATTTAGATTATCCCAACTCACTGGTAAAATCTAAATATTAATCTCTTGTTTGTATTGAAGAAAATCGAACTCTTTCGATTTTCTATATTTTTAAATATTCAAAATATCAATTATTATTAATTTCATTTTTTTTATTATTTTACATTGTTTAAATCAATCTTTATTTTAGTAAAAATAATTTTGGATTATCCAAACTCTATGGTGAAATTTGAAAAATTACTTTTACTTGCAATAATTAAAGAAAACTAAACTCTTTTAGCTTTCCCTAAAAATTATATTTAAAAGATTCATTTAAATAATTTTATTTTTTTATTTATCAATTTTTATTTATTTTTTAGCAAAAATTATTTTTGAAATCCCAACACTTTGGCGAAATTTAAATAATATTTTTGCTTGTAATAAAATTTATTTCCTTTAAGTAGTTAGTATTATTAAATTTTTTATTTATATTTTTTTAGGTCTTTTATTTTATTTCAGTTTCATTTTTTATTCTATTTATTTATTTGTTTTTTAAAAAATTTTACCAGTAATAATATAAAATAACAATAATAATTAAAAAAACATAAAAATTAACATAAAAAATCAACATAAAAATCAAAATGGAAAATAAAAAGAAAAGGAAAAACCTACGAAATAAGTCGGGATGGCACGCGGATCCTGCGTGCGTCGAGTTCTGTCCAGACGTCTAAAACGACATTATTTTGAAGGGCCTATGAAAGGCCTTTTTCTACTTTTTTCTCCCTTCCCCTTTCTCTCTCTACCAAGAGCTCCTCTTTCTAGAAAACCCAGCCCCTATGCCGACTATCGTGGACCCCAGTTTCCTTTCGGTTTCCGCTGTGCACCGATGGCCGAAAACTTTAATAGTGCCAAAAATTTCAAAGATTCCAAATCTTCAGGTGGCTGGAAACCATTCAACCGGTCCACCAAAAAATTCAACACTTTCCAAAAATCGTGGTGTCGAAATTCCGACCTAAAATCAAACCTTTTTCAAAAAATTCCCCTATGATCCCTTTTTGGCTTTCTAAACACCTTTCCCAAGCCCAGAATTTTTCAAAAAAAATCTACAACTTCCTGGATCGAGAATTTCATTCTCAAAATTTTTTTTTTGTGTTTGCTGTCTTTTTTTTATTGTATGTGTTCCCTCTTATTGTTCTTCTTTTTTTTTTGTCCATTCCTTGTAGAGATTAGCTCTATTTAAAGAGTTTTTGAGATTCAAGATCCCAGATCTTATGGGATCCTTTTGTGGAAATTTTGGGTGTCTATCCAGTGACTTTTGGTCACCGGATTTCATGCTGCCATGTTAGGCAGTGTCAGGAAGAAATTTGGACCACTAGGCTGCTTGATTTCGACTGCCAGAGTTGAAATCAAAGACTTTTTTTTTACTTTTTTTTCCTTTTGTTTTAAAGATTAATAATAATAATAATAATAATAATAATAAAGAATAAAATTATATAATAATAATAACAAAAAAAAAACAAAATTGGTGTCTACAGCTGCCCCTCTTTGCTTATTTCTAAGAATCAGGAATAAAGCAAAGACAAAAAGACACTAATTTTGTTAGATAAATACATACAAAAAATGAAACATTCAACATAAAGTTTTTTTTTTGAAAGAAAATTTGAAAAGTTCTTCTAAACAGAGGCTATAAAACTTGAAATTAAAAAATCTCTTCTCACAAGAGGCAATGAACTTTAAATTCAAAAGGCTCCTCTCATCAGAGGCAACAAACTTTAAATCCAAAAGCTCATTTAACCAAAGGCAATGAACTTTAAATTCAAAAAGCTCCTTTAACCAAAGGTAACAAACTTTAAATGTTAAAAGGCTCCTCTCATCAGAGGCAACAAACTTTAAATTCAAAAGCTCCTTTAACCAAAGGCAATAAACTTTAAATTCTAAATCTCCTTTAACCAAAGGCAACAAACTTTAAATTAAAGATCTGAGAGGTAATGGTATTTGAAATATTTCTCTAAGCAAAGGGTTCACATCTTTCCTACTTTTGACTTTTTCTTTTGTTGGTCTTGGATTGTCCTAGACCCATACATCTGTCGTGTCACATGAATGCATGAATGACATTTTCATGTTTTGCAATGCCATGCAATAAATGATGATCATGATGCAAATCCACTTATTATGCAAATGAAAAGACCATTTTCTTTCTCTTTCTTTTTGTTGTCATTTTCTTTTAATCCTCAAAATTTCTTAAAGTTTGTTTCTTTTCTTTTTCTCTTGAATCCTAAGCATTCCAACTATTGATGAAGCTCAGATAAAAAAAGATTTCTCTTTATATCCCATATTTCATGTCAACCACTTTATGACCTATATGACACTTTTCTCATTAACCTTTGTTCCCTACTATTTTGCTTATCATTTTAAATCTCCTTCAAAATAATATGTGTGTCTTTTATGGTCATTGTTATTCCTTCATCACCTTTTGAATTTCAAACAATTATAACACATTGCACATTTCTCTTTTTAATGAGAGGGACAAAAGGAAGGATAAACAAAGTGGTATTTTATTTTGGTAAAAGGGAAAAGTGTTTCATGCGTTATAAAAAAGGATAAAACAAGGACAACAAGTAATCACATAACAAATATTCAGATCATCATGAACTAATTCATCATGGATTATTTTCTAAAGACTTTTAATTGGTGCCTTTGACTTTTGAAAAATGTAGCAAACCAAACTAGCCCAAAACCATTGAGATCTTCTTGCACATATTGAAAATTGAGCCACTCTATTCACTATCCCCTTTTATTTTTATCTAAGCTACCCTTTCATGTTTTCAACTCAAATATCTTTTAAATTCATTTTTTTTTAATTTTTTTAAGCATAATCCTTTTTTACTACATCAGCATTGACTGGATTTGACAAATCATCTCTATCCATTCTTGCCAAGATCAGTGCCCACCACCAAAAAAAGCTTTTTTCACCATATATGGGCCTTCCTAATTAAGAGTCCATTTTCTCAAGGATCCTATTGTTAAGAAGATCTTCTTCAATACTAATTTCCTCTTAAAATTGTCATGGGTGAACTTTCTTGTCATGAGCTCGCATCATTCTTCTTTGATATAGTTGGCCATGGTAAAGTACAACTAATCTCTTTTCTTCAATGAGATTCAATTGTTCATATCGAACATGAACCCACCTAGATTCTTATAACTCAACCTCCATGAGAATGCGCAAAGAAGGAATTTCAACTTCGATGGGTAACACTACCTCCATCCCATATACCAATGAAAATGGTGTAGCTCCCATAAATGTGTGTATCAAAGTTTGATAAGCATGTAATGCAAATGGTAGCTTTTCATACCAATCTTTATACACATCTATCATCTTTTCAATAATTCTCTTTTTATGTTTTTATTGGTCCTTTCAACTGCCCCATTCATCTTTGGATGATAAAGTGCTGATTTATGGTGTTTGATTTTAAATTGAGCACAAACCTCAATCATCATTTTATTATTCAAATTAAGAGCATTACCCGAAATGATCCTTTCTAAAAGGCTATATCAACATATGATCTCTTTCTTGATGAACTTGCAGACCAACATTCTTGTCACATTGGCATATGAAGCTGCCTCTACCCACTTTGTGAAGTAATCAATTACCACTAAAATGAATTGATGTCTATTTGAGGCTTTTGGCGTAATGGGCCTTATCATATCCATTCCCCACATAGAGAAAGGCTAAGGTGTTGACATAACATGCAAGGACATTGGAGGAACTTAAATATTGTCTGCATAAATTTGACATTTGTGACATTTTCTAGCATACTCAATGCAATCTTTTTCCATTGTCAACTAATAGTATCTTGCTCTTATTATTTGTTTAGTCATCATGTGACCGTTTGCATGAGTTCCACAAACACCTCTGTGAATTTCTTCTAGCAACTTTTGGCTTTAGCAGCATTCACACATCTCAATAATGTTTGGTCTCGACTTCTCTTATATAAAGTTTTTTCATCTAGAAAGAAACCCATTGCCAATTTTCTCAAAGTTCTCTTATCATTCTCTTATATGTGCTCTGGGTACTATTAATACTTAACATATTGTTATATGTCAAAATACCATGGTTTTCTTTCAACTCATTCCTTAACATTTGAATAGTGAGCATATTTCTCTTGCAAGCTCAATATGATGGGTTGGATTTCAACATTTTCATTTAATTTGAACATTATTGCCAATGTAGCCAAAACATCAGCCATTTGATTCTCTTTTCAGGGTAAATGATAAAACCAAATATTTTTAAATTCTTTAATTAATTTTGATATGTACTTTTGGTATAAAATCAATTTTGAGTCTCTGGTTTTCCATTCTTCTCGCAATTGGTATATGACCAAGGTAGAGTTTCTATAAACTTTTAAAGTATGGGCCTCCTTTCAATAGCGGCTTGAAGACTCATAACACATGCTTTATATTCTGCCACATTATTGGTGCAATTAAAATTTAGTTTTGCTGTGATTGGGTAGTAATCCCCTTTTGAAGATATCAAAACTACTATTATACCTTGCCCCAAAGCATTTGATGCACCATCAAAATACATTTTCCATATATCTTCATTATACTCTTCTTTATCTATGTGTAGTACAGATATTAAGTCTTTATTTGAAAAAACAAATGTCATAAGCACATAATCTTCATGAGTATGTTCTACAAGAAATTCAACAATAACACTTCTTTTGATTGCCTTTTGGGACACATATACAATGTCATATTTAGAAAGTAACACTTGCCATCTTGCTATTTTTTTCGATAATGAAGGCTTTTCAAAGATGTACTTAATTGGGTCTAATTTCACAATGAGCCAAGTGGTATAATACAATATGTGTTGTTTTAGCTGATGAGTTGTCCAAGCTAGTGCACTACACATTGCTTCTAATGGTGAATATTTTGACTCATAATCAGTAAACTTTTTGCTCAAGTAATAAATGGCTTGTTCTTTCCTTTTTGTTTCATCATGTTACCCCAAAACATATCTCATTGATTTTTCATGCACTGTCAAATACAGGATAAGAGATTTTTCAAAGACATGCGACATTAATACTGGTGGGTTTGATAAGTATTCTTTAATTTTTTCAAACGCCATTTGACAATTTTCATCCCATTCTCCTGACTCATGTTTTTTGAAAAATCTTAAATATGGGATCGCATTTAGTTGTAAGTTGAGAAATGAAATGAGCAATATAATTCAATCTCCCTAAAAATCTCCTTACTTCTTTTTGCGTGCCCAGAGGTGATAGCTCTTGGATGGTACGTATCTTATTTGGATCCACCTTTATTCCTCTTTTACTAACAATAAATCCCAGTAATTTTTTTTGAGGTTACACCAAAAGTGCATTTAGCTGGATTGAGCTTGAGCTAAAACTTTCTTAATCTTTTAAATAGCTTTATGAGATTAGTCACATGATTTTCTTCTTCGTGGGATTTGGCAATCATGTCATCTACATACACCTCTATTTTTTTATGTATCATATCATGGAATAGAGTTACCATGGCTCTTTGATAAGTTGCCTCAACATTTTTCAAACCAAAAGGCATGACTTTATAGCTAAATGTTCCCCATACTGTCATAAAAGTAGTCTTTTCCATATCTTCTTATGCCATTTTAATTTGATTGTAGCTTGAAAATCCATCCATGAATGAAATCAAAGAGTGCTTAGCGGTATTGTCCACTAAAGTGTCAATATGAGGTAAAGGACAATTATCTTTTTGGACTTGTTTTATTCAGATCTCGATAATCAACACATATTCTCGCTTTGCCATCTTTCTTGGGTACTAGGACTATATTCATCACCCATTCGAGATATTTGATCACTTTTAAGAATCTCGCATCAAATTGCTTTTCAGTTTTTCCTTAATTTTCAACAACATTTCAGATTTCATCCTTCTTAGCTTCTATTTAATTGGTTTACACTCAAGCTTTAGAGGTAACTTATGCATAACAATTTTAGTATCCAGCCCCGACATATCTTGATACGACCAAGCAAATACATCTACATATTCATGTAGTAACTTTATCAACTCTTACTTTATTGGTGATGACATCGAAGTACCAATCTTAACTTTCTTTTTAGTTTTTTCGTCCCTCAACTTCAGTGGCTTCTTGATGAGGCATGATTTGCTTCTCTTCTTATTCCACTAATTTCAATAATTCTGGGGATATTGCATGGTCTTCCACATTCTCTTCATCATCGAGTTCACCAATATAAACAAAATTTTCAAAATCAATTCTTGGAAAATTGTCATGATGATTTTCATATTCATTATTCAGATACCTGAAAATAAGTGAAATGGACAAAATGTAGAAGGATGTATAGTAATGCAAGGAATTGAAATGAAATAGGCAAAAAAGATGGACAAATGTGCTACACTTGTCATTTATTCAATTAAAAATAAGGAAACAAACACATATAAGACATTTATTTAGATTTGGTTCAACACATTACTTTGGAAGAAATTTAAAACAACAGGTAGGTCCCCAACATGCCAATTTTGTACCATGAGGTGTAAGATAAACCTATGGATAACCTAGATCTTTGCTTTCCTTTTCTTTACCCACCTTTTGTATTTAAAATTCAGTGAAGATATTTTTCAATCATGGTGTAAACTCTTTCCCTATGTTTCTTGCTACATTTGGATAGATATAGCCAGCTGAGATGAAAGTGTCATAAAGGGGGAGAAAAAAAAGGTCTTCAGTCTCTACTTTTTACCCTAAAAAATGAGCTAACTTTTTTTCTATTTTTTCCTCTATGAACTTCATTCTTTCTTTTTGAGTTGGCTTGTACCTCAGCCCAAACTGATCGTCCTTCTTAGGCATCATCCATGGTCATTGTATTCCCTACAAGTTAGCCCACACTTGTTGTCCTTTCCTTACCACTTCTTTAAATGCCATTTATACTTTAATTACTTTTTTATAAGAAGAAATTTAAATTATCCTAAATCACCGGTGAAATTTAAATATTAATCTCTTGTTTATATTGAAGAAAATCGAACTCTTTCGATTTTCTATATTTTTAAATATTCAAAATATTAATTATTATTATTTTCATTTTTTATTATTTTTTATTATTTTTTGCATTGTTTAAATCAATCTTTATTTTAGTGAAAATAATTTTGGATTATCCCATCTATGGCGAAATTCAAAAATTATTTTTACTTGCAATAATTAAAGAAAACTAAACTCTTTTAGCTTTCTCTAAAAATTACATTTAAACAATTTATTTTTTATTTATCAATTTTTATTTATTTTTTAGCAAAAATTATTTTTTTAAATTATCCCAACACTTTGGTGAAATTTAAATAATATTTTTGCTTGTAATAAAATTTATTTCCTTTAAGTAGTCATTATTATTAAATTATTTATTTATATTTTTTAAGTCTTTATTTTATTTCAGTTTCATTTTTTATTCTATTTATTTATTTGTTTTTTTAAAAATTATTACCAGTAAAATATAAAATAAAAATAATAATAAAAAAACATAAAAATCAACATAAAAAATCAAAATCAAAATCAAAATGAAAAATAAAAAGAAAAAGAAAAACCTACGAAATGGGTCAAGTTGGCGCGGGTCGAGTTCGGTCCAGATGTCAAAAATGACGTCGTTTTGAAGGGCCTATAAAAGGCTTGTTTTTGGTTTTTTTCTTTATTTTCTCTTTTCCTCTTTCTCTCTCTACCCAGAGCTCCTCTCTCTAGAAAACCTAACCCCTTCGTTGACCGCCATGGAGCCAATTTTCGATCAATTGCTGCCATGCACTGATGGCCGAAAACTTCAAAGTGCCGAAAAATTCAAAGATTCCCAGATTTCATGGTTAAAAAAATTCAACGGTCACCAAAAAATTCAAACTTTTTCCAGATTTCGATGCAAAAAATTTCAACGGTCGTCGAAAAATTCAAACTTTTCCCATTTCTAACGACCCAAAAATTTTTTTCAAAAATTCCCAAAAATTCCCCCAATGATCCTTTTTGCTTTCTAAACACCTTTCCAAGCCCATATTTTTCAAAAAAAAATCTACAACTTTCTGGATTGAGAATTTCATTCTTGAAAATTATTTTTTTGTATTTGCTGTTGTTTTTTTTTATTGTGTGTTTTCCCTCTTATTATTCTTTTTTTTTTTTGTCCATTCCTTATAGAGATTAGCTCTATTTATAGAGCTTTTGAGATTCAAGATCCCAGATCTTCTGGATACTTTTGTGGAAAATTTGGCTATCATCCGGTGACTTTTGGTTACTGGATTTCATGCTACCATGTTAAGCAGTGTTAGAAAGAAATTTGGACAACTCTAGCAGCTTGATTTCAACTGCCAGAGTTGAAATCAAAGATTTTTTTTTTACTTTTTTCCTTTTATTTTAAAGATTGATAATAACAATAATAATAATGATAAACAAAATTATATAATGATAAAAAAATAGCAAAATTATATAATAATAATAAAAAAAGTAAAACAAAATTGGTGCTTATAGGGACGATTAGGGGCATCATATTTAATAGTCAGAAGTGAAATTCATGGATTTATGAATGATGAACAATTGCAAAAGCATTTGCCAATGATGTTTTCATTAATCAAGAATAAATTTGGGGGCTCAAAGACAATCATATACCATCCTAGTCTCAACCATTAATGATGCCAACCAGGGATCAATGGATGTTATTTTTAGGACTCCGTCAACACTTTATGAGAAATCAAAGTCTTTGGGTTTCGAGTGAGTATGGTCTCAAGGCTAAAACTTAAAGGAATTGATAGAAAGGCACCATCAAGAGTGGAGCTTGCGGCTTAATTTGACTTAACATAAGGAAACTTACTAAGTCCAGACATAGTAAGGATTCATAGACTTAGAGCTTATTCTTGATTTTATGGGTGATGGTGCATGGCTAATCTTAGTTGGTGGAGTGATTTGTCTAGTTAATTTCATTAATGAATGAGAGCTCAGCCTGTGATGTCATAAGAAGTCCACTAAACCTTATCGTTTAGAGGAAAGAGAAGTATAAAAAGGTTTTAATAGGTGGACCTACGAAAGGATCATTGTTGAAACCTGCTTAACGAAGGACCTACAAATGTTTTAATGAAACACCGAGAGGGCAAGGATGCCTCCGTGCCCTAAGCCTCATGCTTCTTCTGGCCTTAGACATGTATGACAGTCACTTCATTCTGGCTCTCGAGCAAGTGAAACAATTAGTTTCATCACTCAAGGCTAAATAACAAACCCCCAACACAAATCCCACTAAGAAACCAGAATGAAAAAGAGTGTGTGTGCTATCACCATCCCATTTGTAGTGCATGCACGGGTGGCACCATGACTCCTTTTGTCATGAAAAACCAAAATGAGTCTCGACAATGGATTTCTCAACTCTCACATTGATGAAAAATGCAATGAAATATGATACTTGGTGTGAATTATGGAATCCTATGAACCATTAATTCTTTGAATGCAAGTTGCACCTTTAGCCATTATGCCAAGGGCATGCCTGCTAAGCTACCATGCATCATCACCCTTTCTAACCTCCCACCCATCGGGCTTCTAGTAATAGGGTAAAAAATGGCCTCCAGTGATCTCATCTATAGTGGTTGGCCTAAAAACAAGTCCCTGGCAATTAAAGCCCCGTGACCATCAGTGCTAAAGCTCCTAGTGTGAATCATCTCCGGTGACATGCACTCATCCAACTGAACCCATTGAACCCTTCTCATCACTCAGTCAATGCTCACATTGTGACCCTAGGTCAGGTAGGATTACCTATTGAGTTTAAGCATATGAATAAGCAAAGGAAAAAAAACTTACCAGGATTCTCCTAATAACAATGAACAAACTACGAAAAGCCCAGCTTGAAAATTGGTAACTTTTGGAGTCTAAATTATAGTCTGGTGAAGCATCCTTAGTGATAGACTAGGCCTAAGTCCCATAGAAAAGGGTGTTAGAGAGAGTGAGAGTCCGGTTATGCTTGGATCCTATTACACCATGAGACTCTATCTACGAGTTAGGTTGTTTAGGACTACAACCCTAATCAGGTGGTAAATTTCATCCATGGTTGAATACGAGTGAGAGACCAATAGTGAAGAAGTACTACAAGGGAAAGATGAAAAGGAATTTGAAAAAGAGAGTCAAAGAGTGCTTGAAATTATCGAAATGGAAACGAATGGAGGATGATGATGCATCCCAGTTAGATGTGGAATGGTGAGAGCCAGACCATTGATTGGCTTAGGGCAGGGACCAACATGTGTCCTAGTGGTTGCCCAACCCTGGGCTTTCGATATGCCCATAGAGACATTGTCGCTATGATCATGGAACATAACACACATCATCTCAACATGCCTCGACACTCATACGCTTCTGGCATCAGCCTGCGAGCTCCCTATCTAACTTGTCTTGAAACGTAGACCAAGAAGTGTGACATCTGTGTAAGTTAACGTGCTAGATAACCTATAAAGTGCAAGGAAGTTGGTTAGTGGGATCCCTCACAGGTGTACCACCGACCAACCTTGATCTTTTGAAAAAAGTTCGAGTGTGAGCTTACCTGTTAAAGTGAACTATGCCTGAGTGGGGCTAAGCCCACAATGATACTGATATGTAAATTATTCATCTAACTTGGGTATAA